TCCTCGGTCTCCCCATCCAGCCAGGTCTGACTAACCCCCCACAAAATACCGGATCATCCAGGAAACAGTAAGCCTTATTTTTTCATCATTGTCTCACGTTGCTCCAGACTCTGACCTCTTTTCCTCTCTCAGACCCCACGGATCCCTCCAGTCCTGCAGAAGCTTCGGCTACCGCTCCCATTCAAAATAAATCATTTAAACTTACCTTCTGTCTCTCGGTGGTGATTCTTCATGTCGTGGGTCAAGAAATTACCCTCAAACATGACAGAATCATCTGGCCAAACTCCTGACCCCGCTGTCGAATCACTACCGTCCGTTATATCCACAGCTTTTGCCCAACATGAACAATCCATACAGACTCTCCTCGAACATCAAGCCAACACTAACCAACGTTTGTTCCAGTTAGACTCCAGATTAAGGGAACTAAATGAAAAGCTATCTGTTCCGGCTGCTTCAGTTTCTCCACCTCCACCTCAACTACCTCCGGTTCAGCCTGGTCCGTCTACATATTGGCACTTCCGGGTTGCAGACTCGCCTCCTCCCGATACCTTCTCCGGTGAGTCCGGCAAAATACGTTTTCTTCTCCAATGCATGTTAGCGTTTGAAAGAACCCCAGAAGCATTTATTAGTGATCCCGCAAAAATTTCTTACATTGTCAGTCTGCTCCGAGGTCGTGCCTTACAGTGGGCTGAGGCAAAAAGTCGGGAACCTAGTTTCCTTAGAGGTTCCTTAGACAACTTCCTCGTAGATTTTAATAGAACTTTTGGTAAATCAGAGACACCCTCAGAAATAGCCCGGGCCATTTGGAATCTGAAGCAAGAAAAACAAACGGTTTCAGACTTTGCAGTTGAATTCAGAACATTAGCTATCACTTCTAGTGTGGATGAGGAGTCATTAAAAGGAGCTTTTACTCAAGCCCTCCACGACAAAATCCAGGACCAACTAGCCCTGTGTCCTGAACCTGGCACTCTGGAGGATCTTATCACTCTAGCTATTCGCATTGAGAAAAGACTCAAGACCCGTCCCAGGTCTGCCTTGCCCAGTTATCATACCCATCAGACCGCTCGTTCCACTATTCCTCCAGCTCTGCCGTCTGCTTTTGCTTCTGCCTCAATTCCTCCAGAGGTTCCCATGCAGATAGGCCGGGCTAGTCTGACCCCAGAAGAGAGACAATGTCGCATCTCCTCCCAACTGTGTCTGTACTGTGGTTTGTCTGGTCACTTTCTACCCAACTGTCCAATTCGCCCAAAAGGGAGAGCCCACCAGTAAGTCCGGGAGTTCTGGTGGGTAGCAGCACTAACAAAGAAGCCTCCCGGTTTGTATTGACCTGCTCTGTTTTTATTTTAATCAGCTGCCTTTTTTAACTACAGCCCTGCTTGATTCTGGTTGTGAGAGGAATCTTCTAGATCAGTCTGTGGTCACTAAACTGAGAATTCCAACGACACCTCTTCTCACTCCAGTTCAGGTTTCATCATTGGATGGCAACGCGCTCACTACCATCACCCACCGAACGGAGCCTGTCAAGTTGCAAGTGTCTGGTAACCACCAAGAAATCATTGCATTTAAGAAGTCATTTCATTTTTTGTTTTTCCCTCTCCTCAGTTTCCAGTCGTCTTAGGACATGAATGGCTTAGCATGCACAACCCCCACATCGATTGGAAGACTGGTCAAGTTGCTGCCTGGAGTCCTTACTGCTTGTCCCACTGTTTGTTGTCCGCTAGCCTTCCGGTCCAGGTTCCTGCTTCCAGTCCTCCACCCATTCCGGACCTTTCTTCAGTGCCATCAGAATATCATGACCTACAAGCAGTTTTCAGCAAAGATCGAGCTGCATCCTTACCTCCCCATCGTCCATATGATTGCAGTATCGACCTGCTTCCTGATGCCACATTCCCATCCAGCAGGTTGTACAGTCTTTCTAAAGCTGAACATGAATGCATGACCACGTACATCTCTGAGTCCTTAGCATCAGGTCTGATTCGTCCATACACTTCTCCCTTGGGCGCAGGGTTCTTCTTTGTTTCAAAGAAAGATGGTTCCCTGCGTCCTTGTATCGACTATCGAGGGTTAAATCAAATAACAGTCAAGAACAAATATCCTCTGCCTCTGCTTTCCTCCACCTTTGACCCTGTACAGAATGCAACCATCTTCACCAAATTAGATCTCCGCAACGCTTATCATCTTGTAAGGATCAAGGAGGGTGACGAGTGGAAAACGGCCTTCAAGACACCTCTGGGCCACTACGAGTACCTTGTCATGCCTTTTGGCCTGACCAATGCTCCCGCAGTGTTCCAGTCCCTGGTAAACTCCGTACTCTCTGACTATATCAATTCATTTGTCACTGTATACCTCGACGACATTCTGATTTTTTTCCAGTACCGTTTCCGAACACCATCAACATGTCCGCGCTGTCCTACAACGCCTTCTGGAGAACCGCCTTTTCGTCATGGCTGAAAAATGCGAATTCCACGTTTCCTCAGTGAAATTTCTGGGATTTGTTCTGGAGAAGGGAAAGCTGAGAACAGACCCAGAAAAGGTTGAAGCTGTCCGTGACTGGCCAACTCCCACTACCCGCAAACAGCTTCAACGTTTCCTCGGGTTTGCAAATTTTTATCGGCGTTTTATTCGTGGCTACAGCCAGGTGGCATCTCCCTTGATGCAGTTGACTTCTGTTAAAAGAGCCTTTGTGTGGTCAGCTAACGCTGAAGAGGCTTTTCAGGAGTTAAAGACACGTTTCACTCAAGCTCCTGTTTTGGTTCGCCCTGATCCGTCTGTTTAGTTCACCATGGAAGTCGACGCTTCAGATTCTGGCGTTGGTGCTGTCCTATCTCAAATGTCACCTTCAGATAATCTATTACATCCTTGTGCTTTCTTTTCAAAGAAACTCTCAGACGGAGCAAAACTATGATGTGGGAGACCGAGAGCTGCTAGCCATCAAATTGGCTCTGGAAGAGTGACGCCATTGGCTTGAAGATTCCGAGCATCCCATCATTATCTGGACAGACCATAAAAACCTTGCTTACCTGAAAGAGGCCAAGAGGTTAAACCCCAGACAGTCCCGGTGGTCCCTGTTCTTCACACGCTTCAATTTCATCATTTCCTACACCCCCGTATCAAAGAATGTCAAACCAGATGCTCTATCCCGCCAGTACGCTTCAGACAGAGACATTAAACCCGCCACTATCCTTCCTCCATCTTGTGTTGTAGGAGCTGTTTCCTGGGACATCACTAACAAAGTTCTGGACGCCCAACGCACTGATCCTGACCCAGGTAATGGTCCTCCCAATAAACTGTTTGTGCCTCAACAGGTTTGAGGAGCAGTGATCCACTGGGCACATACTGCCAAATTTTCCATTCACCCTGGAATTGGTCGCACTCTCGCCCTGATCCGCAGGTCATTCTGGTGGCCCTCCATGTTTAATGACACTAAAGAGTACATCAACGCCTGCCATGTCTGTGCCCATAATAAAACCACCAATCAACCCCCGGCAGGACTGTTACATCCTCTCCCCATTCCATCTCGCCCATGGTCGCATATAGCAGTGGACTTCGTTACTGGCCTACCCCTCTCCAAAGGTTTTTCTGCAATTCTCACTATAATCGATAGATTTTCAAAAGCCTGTCATTTTGTTCCAGTGAAATCCCTTCCATCATCCACTGAAACCGCTAACCTCCTCATAACCCATGTTTTCAGGCTTCATGGCATCCCATCAGAGATCTTGTCAGATCGCGGCCCCCAATTCCTCTCCAGGGTCTGGAAGGAGTTTGCCACCTTATTGGGGGCCCGTGTTTCCCTGAGTTCTGGTTACCACCCCCAAACTAACGGTCAGTGCGAGCGGCTCAATCAGGAGTTGGAGGCTATGCTCAGATGTGTCTGCTCTTCAAACCCTACCAGCTGGAGCACCCAACTCCCATGGATCGAGTACGCACACAACACCCACGTTTCCACTGCAACCAGTAAGTCCCCGTTTGAATCATCCCTTGGTTACCAACCTCCCCTGTTCCCTTCGGATTTATCCTCCTCTGTCACAGTCCCTCAGTTTATCCGCCGGGCAAGGAGAACATGGATCCAAACCCGGGCGGCCCTTCAGCACACCAAAGAGCGCAACCAACGGCTGGCAGATCGACACCGCAGACCCGCGCCCGTGTACAGTCCAGGTCAACAGGTCTGGCTGTCAACCAAAGATATTGGTCTCAAGGGTACAACTAGGAAACTTTCACCTCGCTTCATTGGCCCATATCCCATTCAGGAGGTTCTCAGTCCATGTTCTGTCCGTCTTGTCCTGCCCCAGTCTTTGAAGATCCACCCTGTCTTTCATGTTTCCCTCCTGAAACCTGTCTCGTCCAGTCCGTTGTGCCCTGTTCCTGCTCCCCCTTCTCCTATTCGTCTCACTGATGGTGGACTTGGCTTTCGTGTTCGGCGCCTGCTGGACGTCAGGCCCAGGGGCCGGGGGCGTCAGTTCTTGGTGGACTGGGAGGGTTACGGTCCAGAACATCGCCAGTGGGTCCCCAGTTCCTGGATTGAGGACCCTTCTCTCATCAGAGACTTTGACGCCGCTCGGTCTTCTGCTGCTGCCTCCTCCTCCTCCTCTGCGCGGCCGCCGGGTGTCGGCCTTTGAGGGGGGGGGGGGGGGGGGGGGGTACTGTCATGATCTGTGCTGCATAACCATCTCTGCTGAGTGTTGTTTGCAGGAGGGTGTGTCTGGAGAGCCCAGCTGTGCCAAATCAGCTCATCAGCGATCAGGGGATTTAAGGAGCAGCTGGACATCTCACCATTGCCAGATGATACTCAGTCTTGGGTAGTTTCTAGCACTCCTTTTGACCTTCCTAAAAACTATTTTAGAATTTGTTTGTCCACCTGTTCCTGCCCTTCTGGCAGTTAACCTCCTCTGCCCTCCTGATTCCTCCAGGTTCCAGTCATCTTTTCATCTCCACTCTCTGCTATACCTCCAGAACCATCAACCACATTCCAGTCCTGCTGTTTGCCCCTGATCGCCAGCTCTCCGTCACCCATCTATCCACCTGCAGCTCCTCGGTCTCCCCATCCAGCCAGGTCTGACTAACCCCCCACAAAATACCGGATCATCCAGGAAACAGTAAGCCTTATTTTTTCATCATCGTCTCACGTTGCTCCAGACTCTGACCTCTTTTCCTCTCTCAGACCCCACGGATCCCTCCAGTCCTACAGAAGCTTCGGCTACCTCTCCCATTCAAAATAAATCATTTAAACTTACCTTCTGTCTCTCGGTGGTGATTCTTCATGTCGTGGGTCAAGAAATTACCCTCAAACATGACACAAAGTGCTTAACAATGAAGAACAAAACAAATCATAAAGTCATAAAATGATCATAAATACAAAACAACCAAATATTATAAAATAAAGATGGCAGAAAGTAAACATCAGAAAAAAACAAAATAGTTAGGAGCTGTTTTAAATAAAACGGTCAAATCATAAAATAAAATATAATAATATATATATATATATATATATTTATATCATAAATCCAAGTACAAAAATGTCCTAAAACAAATGAAAGATAATTAAACATCAGATGGAGAAATCACAAAAGCAGCTTTAAGTAAAGGGGTCTTGAGCTGTTTTTTATAATGTGTCCAATACTATGTGAAGATAAAGGAAGTTCATTCCAAAGTTTGTGTGCAACAGCCTGAAAGGAACGATCGCCACGACTATTATATCTGGTGTTTGGAACTTCTAGAAGGTTCTGGTTTGTGGACCTGAGGGCTTGAGTTGGAGCATATGGCTTTAACAGTTCATTATTATAGAAAGGGGGCTGAACATGTAGAGCCCTGAAAGTCATAGTCAGGATAACAAGGGCTGCACAGTGGTGTGGTGGTTGGTGCTGTTGCCTTGCAGCAAGAAGGTCCTGGGTTCAAATCCCAACCTGGGGTTTTACTGCATGGAGTTTGAATGTTCTCCCTGTGCATGTGTGGGCTTTCTTTGGGTACTCCGGCTTCCTCCCACAGTCCGATTTTTCTCTAAACTATTCTTAGGTGTGTGTGTGTGTGTGTGTGCTTGGTTGGTTGTCCTGTGTGTCTCTGTGTTGTCCTGCAATGGACTGGCAACCTGTCCAGGGTGTACAACGCCTGTTTGCCCAGAGATTGCTGGAGATAGGCACCAGCCTCCCACGACCCTGAATGGACAAGCAGGTTTAGACATGGATGTGTAACCAGTGCAGAGACATCAGAATAGGAGTGATGTGACCTATTCTGTTTGCTCCAGTTAGGAGCCTCACTGCAGAGTTCTGGACAAATTGAAGGAGGTCAAGTGCTGTTTTGTTTAAACATGTGAAGAGTGTCGTCAACGTCGTCGTCTTCCTCTGCTTGTCCGGGTCGCGGGGGCAGCATCCCAACTAGGGAGCTCCAGGCCGTCCTCTCCCCGGCCTTGTCCACCAGCTCCTCCGGCAGGACCCCAAGGCGTTCCCGGACCAGATTGGAGATGTAACCTCTCCAACGTGTCCTGGGTCGACCCGGGGGCCTTCTGCCGGCAGGACATGCCCGAAACACCTCCCCGGGGAGGCGTCCAGGAGGCATCCTGACCAGATGCCCAAACCACCTCAACTGGCTCCTTTCGATCCGGAGGAGCAGCGGTTCTACTCCGAGTCCCTCCCGAATGTCCGAGCTCCTCACCCTATCTCTAAGGCTGAGCCCGGCCACCCTACGGAGGAAACTCATTTCGGCCGCTTGTATCCGCGATCTCGTTCTTTCGGTCATTACCCAAAGCTCATGACCATAGGTGAGGATTGGGACGTAGATCGACCGGTAAATCGAGAGCCTGGCTTTCTGGCTCAGCTCCCTCTTCCCCACGACAGATCGGCTCAGCGTCCGCATCACTGCAGACGCCGGACCAATCCGCCTGTCGATCTCCCGATCCCTCCTACCCTCAGTTGTGAACAAGACCCCGACATACTTAAACTCCTCCACTTGAGGTAGGACCTCTCCCCCGACCCGGAGGTGGCAAGCCACCCTTTTCCGGTCGAGAACCATGGTCTCAGATTTGGAGGTGCTGATCCTCATCCCAGCCGCTTCACATTCAGCCGCGAACCTACCCAGCAAGAGCTGAAGGTCAGAGCTGGATGAAGCTAGGAGGACCACATCATCCGCAAAAAGCAGAGACGAGATTCTCCTGCCACCAAACTCGACACACTCCACACCACGGCTGCATCTAGAAATTCTGTCCATAAAAGTGATGAACAGAACCGGTGACAAAGGGCAGCCCTGGCGGAGTCCAACCCTCACTGGGAACAGGTCAGACTTACTACCGGCTATGCGGACCAAACTCACGCTCCTCTGGTAAAGGGACTGAATGGCCCTTAACAGAAAGCCACCCACCCCATACTCCTGGAGCGTCCCCCACAGGGTGCCCCTGGGGACATGGTCATAAGCCTTCTCCAAATCCACAAAGCACATGTGGATTGGTTGGGCAAACTCCCATGCCCCCTCCATCACCCTTGCAAGGGTATAGAGCTGGTCCACAGTTCCACGGCCAGGACGAAAACCACATTGCTCCTCCTCTATCTGAGATTCAACTATCGATCGGACCCTCCTCTCCAGTACATTGGAGTAGACCTTTCCAGGGAGGCTGAGGAGTGTGATCCCCCTATAGTTGGAACACACCCTCAGGTCACCCTTCTTAAAGATGGGGACCACCACCCCGGTCTGCCACTCCCTAGGAACTGCCCCCGATGACCACGTAATGTTGTAGAGACGTGTCAACCATGACAGCCCTACAACATCCATAGCCTTGAGATACCCAGGACGAACCTCATCCGCCCCCGGGGCTCCGCCGCTGTGTAGTTGTTTGACTACCTCAGCAACTTCTGCCCCCGAAATCGGACCGTCCATCCCCAGGCCTCCCAGCTCTGGTTCCTCCTCGGAATGCGCATTGGTGGGATTGAGGAGCTCCTCAAAGTATTCCTTCCACCGTCCGACTATAGCCTCAGTTGACGTCAGCAGCTCCCCATCCCCACTGTAAACAGTGTGAGCGAGTTGCTGCCTTCCTCTCCTGAAGCGCCGGACAGTTTGCCAGAACCTCTTTGGAGCCGATCGATAGTCTTTCTCCATGGCCTCACCAAACTCCTCCCACGCCCGAGATTTTGCCTCGGCAACTGCCACTGCTGCACCCCGCTTGGCTATCCGGTACCTGTCTGCTGCCTCCGGAGACCCACTGACCAGCCACGCCCTGTAGGCCTCCTTCTTCAGCTTGACAGCTCCCCGAACCTCTGGTGTCCACCAGCGGGTACGGGGGTTGCCACCACGACTGGCACCGGCCACCTTACGACCACAGCTAGCAACAGCCGCCTCGACAATCGCAGAGTGGAACAAGGCCCACTCGGACTCAATGTCCCCCACTGCTCTCGGGACGTGGTCAAAGCTCTGCCGGAGGTGGGAGTTGAAGACCGTCTTGACAGGTTCTTCTGCCAGGCGTTCCCAGCAGACCCTCACTATGCGTTTGGGTCTGCCAGGTCTACGCGGCATGTTCCCTTGCCATCTGATCCAACTCACCACCAGGTGGTGATCAGTTGACAGCTCCGCCCCTCTCTTCACTCGGGTGTCCAAAACATACGGCCGCAGGTCAGATGATACGACTACAAAATCTATCATCGACCTGTGACCTAGGCTGCCCTGGTACCAAGTGTACCGGTGGGCATCCTTATGTTCGAACATGGTGTTCGTTATGGCCAAACTGCGGCTTGCACAGAAGTCCATTAACAAAACACCGCTCGAGTTCAGATTAGGTGGGCCGTTCCTCCCAATCACACCCCTCCAGGTCAAGCTGTCATTGCCCACGTGAGCATTGAAGTCCCCCAGCAGGACAATGGAGTCCCCTGATGGAGCACTATCTAGCACTCGTCCCAGGGACTCCAAAAAGGGTGGGTACTCTGAACTGATATTTGGCCCATAAGCACAAACAACAGTCAGGACCCGTTCCACGACCCGAAGGCGCAAGGAAGCTACCCTCTTGTCCCCCGGGGTAAACCCCAACACACAGGCAGAGAGTCTCGGGGCTAACAAAATGCCAACCCCAGCCCTCCGCCTCTCACCCGGAGCAACTCCAGCAAAGTAGAGTGTCCAACCCCTCTCCAGGTCTCGGGTTCCAGAGCCAATGCAATGTGTCGAGGTGAGTCCGACTATATCTAGCCGGTACCGCTCAACCTCTGCCACAAGCTCCGGCTCCTTCCCCGCCAGCGAGGTGACGTTCCATGTCCCAAAAACTTGTTTTCTTGTCCGGGGATTGGACCGCCAAGGCTCCCGCCTTGGTCTGCCACCCGATTCGCATTGCACCGGACCCTTCATGTTCCTCCTGCGGGTGGTGGGTCCACAGTTGGACGAGCCCATGTATCCGGTTCGGGCTGGGCCCGGCCGGGCCCCATGGGCGAAAGCCCGGCCACCAGGCGCTCGCTCACGGGCCCCAACCCCAGGCCTGGCTCCAGGGTGGGACCCCGGTAACCCTCCGGGCCGGGTACTCCGACTCTTCGTTTTAACCGCCATGAAAGATCCTTCGAACTGTTCTTTGTCTCACCCTTCACCTAAGACCAATTTGTCATGGGAGACCCTACCAGGGGCACTAAGTGCCCCAGACAACATAGCTCCTAGGATCATTAGGGCACTCAAACTCCTCCACCACGATAAGGTGACGGTTGAAGAGTGTGTTACGGTAATCTAGATGTGAAGAGATAAAGGCATGAGTAACCATTTCAAGTTCAAGTTTTGACACCAACCTTTGCAGTTTGGAGATAATTCTCAACTGATGAAAATGATTTTGGATCAGCGTAATTGAATGACCTTCTATAGTAATTGATTGGTCAAAAACAGCCAAATACTTCAAATTTGAGTTAATGGCAGAAGTGTAATGACCAAGTTGTTGACTAATCAAAGGAACCAATATATAGTCTGGCCACGACCCAAAGAGCTCAGTTGTGAGGCGGAATCTAATGTTGTCTAGAGGGATTTTGTGATCTCACAAGACCAGCGAGGAGCATGGCAGAGAAGCTACTCTGTGGCTGAGATTCTCCTGGTGTCTACTGTTGTTAAATTGTGTCTCCCTCCTCAAAGGAGTTTGAGGAGTTCTAGGTTTCTCTTTAGAAAAATATTTCAGTATTAAGTTTACCCTATCGGGCTTGCTGCCGGGTTTGTTCCTGCCCTGGTGTGTGTTCACCCGCCTACAGAAGGTTAAACTAGCTGTCTTAATTCCTTTTCTTCCTGTGAGTAAAA